AGTTACACACAGAGAAAATATTAATACAACAAGGATTTAATCTCAAATAATGATATAACATTTACTATATCATAAAGCGAAACCATTATAGTTCAAAGAATAAATATATAATGAAGTGATAGGTTCTTATTATCGAAACCTATGATGGAATTTAAAAATTTAATACATAATAATATAATATAAATAAATTCATTTTAATTTCTCTCTGTACGACACACTTCTCCAGCTTCCCCCCTTTTGGAAATTCCCGGTTAAACTGAAGAGCCATTTACACTTCAACGGGCCTTTCAAACTATTCAAAGTGCGGCGTATTTTTTTGAGGTTAATGCATCCTGGGGCTAGGACGTCAGCAGATCCTGTGGACTGCTCGGGGCAGATATTAATTTTTAATTCGCTTCCATTCACAGGAGTGGCAGAGTCCAGGCGCTGCCTCAACTCCCGAAACCTTATCTGTTGCACACAGACCTCGAGGCCGAGACCGAAGTCCCGGCCAGGATGCTAATGGGGCGATGCGGATGTCCTCATCGCCTTCGCCCAATGCCATTGTCTTAGCCAGGTCGAGACTCCTCGGACACGGGCTGGGCGAAAAGTTGGCTTAAGAAAAAGTTTGTCTTGTAATCAAGACAAAAAAATATATATGGCTACAAAAATATGGTTACAATGTTATCAAGAGGCATAAGGTTAATTCAGGCATTAAGGATTTGCATTCACAGTTTTATACACTTAAAATGTTGGAAATTATGTTTTTCTGCTTCTAAAGAATATTTTATAAATACTTCCCATACGATATAAAGTTGAAAATCTTTGATTTTAATTTGAATTTAATGTAAATTATTACATTTTTACCTCAAAATATTTGAAGCAAAAATGGTTTGAGATAAATAAACCGAAAACCAGAACCACCATTTACCTTATAAAATATGAATGGATTTAAATATATTTTATAAATTGTTTGTAATAAGTACACATTTAATTTACGAATTATTTATTTTTATTTTTGTTAGAGTTCTTAAAATATTTATGTAAAGGTTATATTATTTATTTATCATCATAACAAGATACTTTCTGAGAATTTAAACTAAAATCTGACAGCTTGATTTAACCTTTTCCAAAGAAGAGATTTGTAAGGCAACTTTATTCCTTTTAAGCTTACAAATTTATCAGTATATAATTTAAATTACTCAAAATATTAAACTAAACTAAATTAACGTCTGATATAATCCAAAATCAAACCAAGAACACACAAAAATATTCGTATTTTCAAAAGCAGAAATCTTTAACTGGATGCAATAAACATCTCGGATGCCACAAATTTCACACTCCAACGAAAAAACGTTCTAAATTAATCAAAAAACAAGCAGCAAAAAAATCGAGTGTGGGCGAAAAACATTCCCCGAGACGAACCATTTAACCGAATTAAGAAGGCGAAATTCCCCGGCTTCCCCGGCTGAGCTCACCTTGGAGAGCACCGCCCCAGCACAGCCAGAAGAGTGCCCACTTGGCGGTGCAGAAGCGTTGGAGCCACTGTGGCCTCCAGTTGCACCATCCAAATCGCTGGCTATCCACATCCTGGTCCGTTCGGTGGAGGCGGCACTTCCGGTCCTGCTGGAGCGGGCACTATTGTTATTGTTCACATTGGCGCACTTGGCTGCTCCGGCTGCAGCTCCTGCTCCTGTTCCTCCTTCGTTCCTATATTATTTGACATGGTTTACTTTTTTCAATCCACACACTTATTATTTATTTCCGCGATAAATGCTACTGCGATCTGTACTGAACGACGTGCGACCACTGACTGAGCTCAGATATTCACAGACGGCAAGCAAACTGAAGCTCGGCCTGAGTCCTTTTCTGTTAAGGATGTGGAGTTAACAGTGCTCTGTGGCAGCAACCCCTGTTAATGTCCTGGCACCCAAGCAAAAACTCCGCCGCAGCTTCAGTCATGATTTTATGAATGAAATACGGACTTTAAGGGACTTCCCACACACTTTTTTCATCACTTCCCTTGTCCCATGGATTTAAACATATCAACAGTTGTCATGACACTGCTCTTCTTTTTGTGTAAAATTAGCAAAGAGTATTCCAGTCTCTTGGAAATGAAAATGGGAGTTTTATTATGGGTTTATTTGATCAACACTTAACTGATAATGTATGGGGTTTATTTGTGCAAACGAAACACGATTTTTAATTAGCAAAGTCGTACCTTTTCTTATCTGTATACTGAATGTAATCCAATATAGAGTTTTTAACAAACCTGTGAACAAATTCAATTAATATTTAAGTTATAAATTTGTGCTATAATATTTATTTAGTTTAAAAAAAGAAGAAATTTCTACATCTAGAATAAAGATTTTTAAATAATATTTAAGTGTTATACTACAGCACATTTTATACGTTATAATAAATTTAAAGCATTATAAATGGGAATTACTAAACCATAATAATTTAAAAGCCCTGAATGCGAGGAGTTCAAGATAGAAACCTGAAAGTAATTTATATTTTCCGGTAATTGTTAGGTCATTAAAAACCGAAATATAAGAAAATAGTATATATATTAAAAAATATAATTTATTCTACAATTTAATATAAGAATACTGACAAAACATACACATATTTTGATTGGCCTAATAGATTTTATTTCAGTCCAAAGATTAACTGATATTTAAATAATTGAAAAATCAATTAATCAATCTAGTTTTGTTTAAATATTTTATTTAGTATATTTTGAGGCCCATTATTTTCAAATTTTAAAGTTAAGATAAATTTTTATTTGTAGTCATTATAACCGAAATAAATGCAGTATGAAGTATTTATCAGAGAAGCCATCTTATAATATATGTAGATATATCAAATGATCATCATATATAACATATAGGATCTTGGAATGATACTGAGAATGATCAGCTGTGATTCTGATATCTCGCTTGAAATTTAATTAATATTAATAATTATTCAAAAAGAACTTCCTAGGCCAGACCTCATAGTTTTCCCCAAAAAAGTATATAAATGCAAGTCGGTTAATGATTTCATTACAACTTTCATGTTTATTCATTAAATTTTTCAGTTTAGTAGGTTGGTTTTTTTTGTTTCTCTAATTTATAAACTTAATGTATAAAAAATAAGTAATCAATTCGCCAATGTTTAAGAAAGAGATGGATCGAATTTAGCATCAAGGGTATGTTGGTTAACCAATATCCATCCAATGTGGTAAAGTTTCTATTGCTGAAAATAGAAATCTAGCTATAAGGCAAACATTTAGGGATTTGATGATGAGCACCAGAAAATCTCTTCTCCGCTTTTGTAAATTAAGTACAAAGTTATGGATAATTTTTCTACTCGAAAAGATATCTGGAAAGACAAAAAAAATTTCAAAACTTGCCTTTGACTACTTAAATACGTACATAATATTTATGTCTATATAGTTACATTTATAGTTTAAAACAATAAAGATGTAAACAAAAACAAAGATTAACAAAAAGCTAAAAAAGAATAATAATTAAACTCAGTAGTTGGGGTTGAGCTTCATCGAGAGACTCAACCCCAGTTTCTAAAAGAGAGTACACACGCGCGGTATTTACAGTATCTTTCGTGAATAAAGTATGTTTACATGTTATTTTTTATTTCATATATATATATTTTGTTTTTGTTTTTTAATATTTTTTCATCTATATTTGGTTGTCCCATGAAAGCTGGTGTTTTAAAAAGGTTCCATAGTTAAGATCGCTCTAAAAACTAAAGCTTTTCTGGCGAGGATCTCTCTCCGATGGGTTATGGTGGATTAACTTAGATCGATAGACGGTGTTCCAGTACTAAACTCGCATGGTTTTTCGGCTATAGATATACGTACAGTGAACGCTTTGCTTTTGGGCACTACGACAAATATCACATAATGAGATCAATTGGATTTATTTTGGGTACTTTTTTGTTTTGTTTTCGTTTGCGCATCATTTCCGTTTTGTTTGTTGTTTAGCATTTTGGGTTTTTTTTGTTTTGTTTGTGAATTTTAAACTTAAAACTGTCTACGTGGGTGGCTTGGGGGCTGAGTGTTGGAATTAATTATATATTATTAACTGATTAAGTACCTAATTTAACAATTGTTTTATGTTCTTTTAAAAGTTTACTTGTTCCAATTCATAATAATACTTAGGCGGAACTGATTCGTTTCCATCCTATCGAGTTTTTTGTTGGAAAGTCGTTAAAGAGAGCGTTGGCATTAGGGATGTTTATCGAGAGAAGTTCGATATATATCGACAAAGATAATGCGCTCAATAATATATCGAAGATATTATAATTTATCAAATTTAATTGAAGTTTACAAAAAAATTAATAATCGCATTTAACAAAAGAAAATACGCGAGAAAGTTATTTAATTTGATTGTTTTCGCTTATATCACTCCGATATATCGCGGCATCGATTAAGTATCGTTATGTCGATATTTTCTGACATTCCTATGTGGGTTACATATTGGATGGGGGTTGTGGTGTGGTAAAGTAATCCTATTTAAGTTACATTCCAGCTCCTTTCTATTTGTTAAAAATAACTTAAGTATGTAGCGTTTGCGTTTCAGTTTTCATTTCTTTGTTGGATCGGTAAGTACTAATTTTGCGAATTAACTTTCATACGCCATTTCATCTCGTTAAGAGCTTCCATGAACCTTTAAAAAAGCCAGCCTTCAATGGGCAACAACACTAAGCCAAATAGTGTTTACAATGGGGTTTATATATGTATGTTTTTGTGTCTGTGGTTTAATATTTTACATTCATAGAAGTTAATTTATCTATAGTTTCAGGTTCAGTATTCACTTCAAGCTAAGTTCTGGCCAAAATAGAAGAGATCTCAACTCTAAGTTGACCATTAAATGAGTCTCATTGAAGTGAATATTGAGCACACATTTCGTTTTGCCTTTGCATATCTTATGCCACATTTTTTATGTTTAAAATATATTTATATTTTAATCGTTTTTTTTTTTTTTTTGTTGTTTTGTTATATAAAACTTAAAATGAATTTAACCAAAAAAAAAAATAAAACAAAGTTAGTGTAATAAGTTGTGTACTTCATCGAATTTGTTTGGGATACCAAACTTCCTTCCATTTTCTCGCATCCTTGACTTTTTACGTTCAAGGCCGGGTGGTGGTGGGATAACAGTACAAAGAAGCGCCATGGGAATGCTGGGTGGGTGGTATTCCTTTCAATTGAGTTCTTGTATTTTTCTCACTTGATCTCAAATTATTTTGCCTTTGTTTTAGTTAATTTTAGTTAGATTTGTTATTTTTTTAAACGAGACTCGGCGCTGTCTCTTCATGGTCCTGTGTCTTCTCCTCTGCCAGCGGACAGTCCACCACTTCGCTGTGCATCACAATTTCAATGTCGCCCAATTCCGCAGCTGCTTCCGCTTTGAGCGTCATATCCTCGGCCCTGGACAACTTCTGCAGGCTGTGTAGCGTCTCCTCATTTATTGTGTGCTCCGGCGATATTTCTCCTTCAGCTGACGCTTCAAACTGGGCGGCATGTGAGCCGCATTGCACTCGGGTGACGATGCCGACTCTGTGCTGCTCGACGAGGATGTTGCCGTTGTGCTTCCCTCGAGCTGAGCAGACAAAGTGCCGCCGCCCGAGGCAGTGGGATCACCGCCGCTGCTGTTGTTGAAGGATATGTTCTGGCGAAAAACTTGCTTACTGAAATCCCCAATTGCCTCGAGGCTGTGTCCAGGAAGGATGAGCTACCTGAGTCTACATTTTGGCTAGAGTTTGATATATTGCTGCCAGTTAGAGATGTCCAAGATGCTGGTGAAGTTTTTCGAGCCACCGATAGAATGGGATTTGAAATGGAACTGGAGTCGCCGCTTCCCACTGCTCCTCCTCCTGTCCCGCTGCCGACGCTCGTTGTGGTTGTGGTTGCTGTGGTGATGGCGGTGACTTGACTGACCTTTGATTCCGGTGAGGAGCTGCGTTGGAAAATGGTGCCCGGGTTGAAAATCGTTAGGAGCTTGTCCACCGTCGAGGGATTGGCTATCCACGAAGTTTTCGTGCCCGCGTCTGTGGGGCATTGTTGCTGATGGGTTCGGCAGGTGGCAGGCTTCTGTTTGCGATTCCAATAATGGATTCGCCTGACTGGCTGCCGCAGCAGCAGCAGCAGCGGAGAGAGCAACCACACCAGCCGATTCCTTGGTCAGTGTGATGTCATTATCACCAAACACGGCCAGGGGACAGATCCTGGGTGGTTGAGCTTCTGTATTTGGATCTACAGAGTCGTTACTTCGTTGGAGGTGCTACTGCTACTATCGCTTCCACTCCGCTTCCGCTGCTGTTGCTACTGCTACTGGTACTTCCGGGCGAAGAATTGCTTACGGTGGGTGAATTGGTCTCGTGCGGCGAAAGCTTCTTTCCCGCGTCGTCATCGTCGCCTTTTGTACTATCATTTCCCTCAGCACAGGTGTCATCCCTTGGCTCTATGATCATTACACTGCTTACTGAGGAGGCTGCCGCTGCCGCTGCCGCCTCTGCTGCCTCCGATAGCTGCACAGCTTTCCTTGCCGACTTGAGCATCGGTGTTGGCGGTAGGTCAATGGGTGGCGTGTGCGGCGCAATTGGCGGCAGCTGACGATTGGCCATCGGCACCTGAGGATCCTCGTAGATACGCGACACATGGAAGCGAGATCTGGGAGACACCGAGAGCCGCTTTACGGTCTGGGTCGAACAAGTAACCGAAGCCATTGCTGGTAACGAACTGGATGTGGGCAAAGCTCCAAGCGTATTGAGACTGTCTGACTGCCTCCCGGTGAACTGATGGTGGGTATGGACATGCAGCTGCTGGCCGAGCGCGGTGTATGCTGCGGCGGATGTTGGGCCAGCGGTGAGATCATTGGGCTGCTGGCCACCTCCGTCACACGCGACACGTGGAAGCGGCTGCGGTTGGGCGAAGAGGACGGCGATATTGTGGGCGGACTGGGGCCGGGCGAGCGTAGGCGAGAGCCACCCTTACGCTTCACCTCCAGCAAGGCGGCCGGTGTGGGCAGGGCGGTTGCTGCGGCGGTCGCAGTTGCTTTGCCGTGACAGTGCCAGTGACGGCGTCCACAAAGGGACGACTGTGGCAGGTTAGCGAGATCTTCCGCGAGCCCAAGTAGTAACCGCCGCGACACCGGGATCCGCCTGGGAAGCTACCGCCAGCACTTGTATTCCCGCTGCCGCCAACATTCACCGTCCTCTCTGCAAGCTCCTGCGCCTGCCGCTTCTCGTTTCGCGAGCACAGGGAACGCACGGTGCCCAGCACCCTTGTGTAGTCTAAGTGAGCATCGCTGCCGATCTGAAACAATAGACAAAACATATCACTTTATTAGAAATATAATAATGGCAAGCAGTGTTGGATGGTTCACATGATCTTCGGACAAAGTCCAGCTGCTCACTAGTCAGCTAAGTGAACAACTGATCTCTATCCACACAGGTGAGCCAATCCAACTACTCTTGGTTTTTGTTCCCAAGTCAGAAAAGCGCATCTAGAGAGTGTAGCAAAGTTAGCAAATCCGCGAAGAGGCAAAAACCAGGCGGGCGTAGTGCGGTTGCATTGTTATTAGCGGTTTTATTTATTTATTGCTTTTTTTTTTTGTTATAATCGGTTTTTCGCAAGCCAAAAAAAAGCGCTGATTTTGCACAGAGATGGTTACAGAGGAGGAGGTGGTTCATATTGAGTGGCAGGTTTTACTTACGCTCTCCTGGGGCAATGGCGATGGCGGTATAACATTTACTATCGGCACTATGGGCAACTTTAACGGAGATGAGAGATAGAGGCAACAACGACAGTGACACCACAAAATGAAAACGATTCAATTAAAACAAATTCAAAATCAAACTATCAAACGTCCAACAGACACGCTTTCATCCAGCCATCCAAAAACCAAGCTCAAATGGTATCATGGTGTAACTCTTTAGCTTCGGCAAGCCGTAGCTACTTATGCCTTGGTAAATGTTTTTAAATTAAAACATAGCAAGTATTAGTCTTAAACTGTATATAAATAACCTCTAACAATGCTATTTGTTTTTATGTTTGGTTTCCAATTAATTAAATAAATTAATTAAAGCAAACAGACAAACTCTATGATTTCAAATGAATTCTTAACATTTACCAAGGGTTTAAGAATATATTAAATCATTGGGCAAGAGTTCAACTTTTAGCAAAGCAAATGAGATATACATTAAATGAGATACACATTAATGTCTATCAAAACCTTCAATTACATTTGCTTTACTTAAAATTGACCAAAAAAGATATTGCATTCCGTAACTCAACTTCTACTGTGGGCTTGAAATGACATTAATGATGGTCTTTTGATGGGGCAAAACGGAGTAATGACTTCAAGTAACTTCCAAGTTCTAAGGTTACAGATATCTTACCGTGAGACGCTTGGGCTCATCATTAATATCGATCTGGGTAAGCGTGTTGTTGGATTTGAGCACCTCGGCGATTATGTTCAGACTTTCCACTTCCAACTTATTGTCACGGATATCGATGCGCTGCAGTTTGCTATTCCCGCCAAAGGTGAGGATTGTGGCCAGTGTCTCGACACCCTTGGCACTCAAATGGGCACTCTGCAATCCCAGCGTTGTCAACGTGGTGTTCTTCGTGAGGCTCTCCTTAATTGTGGCCACAAACTCATTGGACAAACAGTTCTTTCCAATATTGAGCAGTTCCAGGGAAATCGTCTTTTGCAGCAACTCGGATACCGCAGGGGCACAATCCTTGGTAAGATTATTGTTCCACAAGGTGAGGGCCTTTAGGCCGCTGGGCGAACGATTTGCGGCCTCCAAAGTAGACTCTGCCAGCTGGCGACGCGACAGGGTATCGTTCTTGGTCAACTTTTCGGCGAACTTGGGATCGGTGGAGGTGTTGGATGTGTTGGAGCTGATGCTGTTATTACTGTTACTACCGTCCAGCGATGTCTCGCTACACAGACTATCGGAGCTCTGGGATCGATTGCGCGAGGACTGGTTGAGGTAGGCGCAACTGGACTCTGTTCGTCTTAGTCCAATGCTCGCTCCACCCGGCGATGTGGAGGGCGGTGGTGGTGTCGGCACTGGACTGGGACACGGATAGGAACTGGGACTCAGTTCTCTGTTCGCCTGCAGGCACTCCTCGGCAATGGTTACCTTCGGCGTAGGAATGCATCATCTTGGGATTTCGACAGCACTGGAACTGGCGGCGTGGTTGTAACTGTGGGCATGGTTGCCTCCTGAGCGACAAACAAACACTCGGTGGACTCTGTGGCTATGGTGGCCGTCTCAATGCCACCCATTTCCTTTGCTATATCGTCTAGCCGCGTGCTCTCAAGCGATACCGATAGCCTGCTGAATTCATCGGGCAAATGGCGACTTATATCGCCCTCGGAGGCACTCTCGAAGGCCGAGTCTGTGCTGTGCGTATCCTCAAAGTCATCTCCCGGGGTCCTGGCATTCTGATTCACATCCAGGGGTCGCGATCCGCCCGCTCCACTCACTCCGCTGCCATTAATGCAGTCACTCTCCTCGGCGGTCACCTCAAATATGGCCGCTGGCGAGGAACTATCTGGACTGACAACGATTTCAGTGGGTTGTGTTAAAGCAACAGCAACAGAGGCTGTCGCTCCTGATCCCGCTCCTGCTGCCGATGACGGTGATTGATTATGTTATTATTGTAGGTATTGTGGCATTATTAGCTTGATTATTATTATTGTTGTTGATGATGTTGTTCTGTACACAGGATTCATTGGGTTCAACGGTTTTAGCCTCTGTTGAGGGAGTAATATCTGCAATAGATTTATAGTGTTTAATAGATCACAGCTTTAAACTAATATCCTTAAATTCTTGTTCCTTCTTACCACATATGTTGCGTTCGTTTTGGGAACTTTGCTGTTGTTGTTGTTGTTGTTGCTGTTGTGCGTCGGAGACAGCGACTCCTCGGGCACAGCTACAGATTGTTGTGTCTCTGCAGCACTAGGCGCTGGTTGTGACTCCACCGGACCGGTGTTTGAGCTCTCCTGGGCCGGCAGTCCTGCTTCTGCTACTATTTGTTTCGGACCGGTACTTCATAGATTTCATTGCTTATCTCACTGATGTCCTCGGAACAGCAAGCGGCCAGTGTGTCGGTGGAAATGTTTGAAGGCGCCTCCTCACTGCTACTGTCGCTATTCATTGACAGCAGCTTGTCCAGCATGGATTGGCCACTGCCATTTTGGCCGCAGTTCTTCACCGTGCGAACAGTGTCCTCGGTATTGTCGTCGTCGTTGTCATTCTCCACATCAATTAGACACCCACGGCGGGCTGATCTAAACTTGTGACACCTGCCTGTTCCGCCGGAGCCTCTGGAATAGAGGCAACCGATGATGATGACGATGATGACTCACTATCAACGACATCATTCGCCGCTTGACTGCCGGCAGAGCTGACGGACTGGAGGCCTACTGCTGCTACGGCGGCTGCTGCTATGGTGGCTCCGTATCCACAGGCGACGAGCATTCATCCACCTCAATGGCACGTGTTCGCTTAAGGGCACCCATACGTCGCTCCAGTTCGGTGGACTGCAGAATGAGGGCTTGCACAAGGTACATGACACCTTCGTTCCTAATGTTGTTGTTGCTAATGTCGATAAGCTCCAAGCTATGGTTGTAGCGCAGCAGGTCTGCTATATGCTGGGCATCCACACAGTCCAGATCATTATAGCCCACCCACAGCTCCTTGAGCATTTTGTTTTGATAAGACCTCGACCTGCGAAGGATACTGGAATAAATTAAACATGAAAAAACAAATTATATAAATGAAAATAAATCAAATTAAATAACAAAAAAATTAAACGGGAAGGAAATAACTTAAAGGAGGTTCTATAGACTTACACAGATGTACTAACGGCTGACCCCTGAGGCCGCAGTGCTCCAGCTTTAGGGTATGCAAATTGGAGGAGCCCAAAGCCCGGCCAAGGCTATCGGCACCCAATTTGGTAATCTGATTGCTTTCGGCATTGAGCAGCTGCAACTCCTGGCTACGCTCCACCATGTAGGCGCACAGCTCCCAGCATCTCTTGGTCATTTGCTCCTTGTTGTAGGATATATCCACTCATTAGCAGCTTCATAGTATTCAATCATCTGAAACAAGGCCATTAGGCAGCTCTCATCCAGTGAGCAATCGGACAGGTCGATGCATTTGTATTGTATCTGAGGGGAAATAAATGATGGAAATATTAATACAAGAAGCTATAACTAAGAGTAGCTACTTACCCTTTTGAAAATTTCCTCCAGAGCTTCGCAATCATTGGCCGCCAATTGATTTGCTTTAAGTGGTAGAAGGGGCTGTCGCACCTGGTTAAGATCCAGGTTCTTTAGATGATCCATAACACTCTTTAAGGGCTCCCTTTTATGCTTTCGACATGAGTCCACATACTGATCGACAATTTCGGCAATGCTCTGGACAAGACAAACTGTAAGAGAAACATTGGAATTTAGTATATTTATTATTTAAGAACCTTTTAGACTCTTCTGTAATTATATCTGTATCGATCTAAATTCAACAATTTATAGAATTGCTGTCGTGTCAATAAACTTTTGACGATTCTTCCGTTCCGCCCAATCAAGTGTCGCCATTTCAAAGGCAAACAAAAAGTGTGTCTGCCAAACTATATATATATTTATACATATATATTCTATATGGTCAAATATGACAAATAACCATAACTTATGGCGCGTGCGAGAGTGTCTCTCACCCATATCCAGTGCCGACGGACTATATCGTCGTCGACATCATCATTATCATCATCTACAATTGCCGCCGCCGTTTGTCGTCGGCATCAAAAGTCATGGAGATACAGACATAAACAAATTGTCCATTGAAAAAAAAAAAAAAAATAATAAATGAAATTGCGGCGGCAATTTCCAAACGATTTGCGTCCACACAGAGGCTCTCGAATGACATGAAATCGTGAACCTGTAATTTACAACTCATTTGGACGCATCTTGTGGAGCCGTCTAACAGAGAGTTAAGTAAACTTAGACATCTAAATATACTATATATATCCAATATCTTGATGAGTAATAACCGGAACTCAAAGAAATCGATTCATAAATATACCCACAACCTTAGATTATTAAAAACTATAGTGAATCTTATTTTCTCATGAATTGTATACTAAAGCCAAAGAAACGACACAAAATTGTGCCAAATGCCAAGTGTACCTTTCTTTCTTATAAATAGTTTAAACAGATACAAGCTCAAACACTCACCTCCACCCAGACAAAGAAACAATCTTATGAAAAACATAAACAAATTAATCTATCATTGCATTATCTAGTCACATCGGTGTTAGAGGCAATTAAACGATTCGATTTAGATCCGACACTAAGTTTTGATGCCAAGAGAGAATCACACACAAATTTTTGTTAAGAAATCTTCGGACGGTTTTGTTTTTTGGCAAACACTCAAAAGTGCTTCAGTTCTATTTCATCTATATAATAGAGATCCCCGATATCGTCCTTCCCCGACAACCGATTCTGCCTTGAGACTCAACATCTGTTAAGTGATTCATTAGCGTTGACTAGAATAATTCAAAAAAACTGAATTATTATGAAAATTTCCCACAGAATCAGGCAGACAATGTGACGACCAGTTTGGACGTTTCTCTTTGAAATATTTTCGAGTATTTTTCTTTAGCTATAAATATAATGATTTGAACTAATCAAATTAGTATTTGACATTTAAGTAGGAGGAAGGAAGAGTATGAATTATGAGTGCCTGAGGAGAAATATAATAATAAATAAATAAATAAGATAAATTTAAGTATTTGGTAACTAAAGATAGTTCAATTTATAACCTAACCTTCTTTCTTCTTTATTGATCTTTCTTTAACGAGTTTGATATTATATTTAAATATTATGTAAACCTTTCATTTCAATAATTTCTTGCAAATCTATTTTTAATCGGTTGGTTGGGCAACATGAATAATGTAAAACCAAAAACAAGGAATTTTCACCTGGGAACCTAAATTTTTTGTAATCTCAGTCATTCGCTTGCTTTGTCTTGGACTTAAAAATGAGTGATTGATAGAGATAGGAATAAATAAAAGTAAATAGCTTTTATCAGGTATATTTTTAGTCGCAAAAAACCAGTTGTGATGGATATTTAAAAATGGGTCTACACGAGTTCCCAGGGATTAGCACAAAAACTTGCAAACTTGGCTCATCGATCGAATAGATAAATGACCAAGTTCATACAAATAATACATAGAATCGCGTGCCGTCTGCGTCTATTAAATGCCTTTTCAATTTTTTATTATTTTATTGATTTTTGCACCTTTGTTATTGCTGACGTCGTCGATTCTCTAAAAGTCTAAGCAAAAGTCAAATGTAAAAGCTAAAAGTAAGCGAATAGCACTCAGAAGAGAATCAAAAATAAAATTATTCAATTAAATTGCTGTTAATTTAGTGCTAAGCATTTACAATGACGGAAACTTGTTCTCGTCGCATTTGCCATTAATTTTACGATTCCATTTCGGTTTATACCGAGCTGGCAAGACATAATGTCAATACGTTTAAATAACACTAGTTTACAAAGAAAAAAACATTGGGAAAGTCTAGCAATTGTATGAAACAATAGTTGAATGATTTTTAACAAAGAAGTAACAAAGAAGTCTATTATAGTAGTCAAAGTCAAACTAATTAATACTTTGAAACAATAAAATCCTTTGATTAGAAAAAAAGCAATATAAATCTGTTAATAATTAAATATACTCAATGTGTTTAAAGAAAAGATGTTAATTCAAACAGTTTCTAATCAAACAAAAAATAATATTCGCAAGCACTTTTCTTATTGTTTATTGAGCCAGAGTGTTTGATAATTATCATGCTATAATGTTTGTTTGTTTCAACCTCTTTCCACAACTGTCTGGTTCTCTTATCTATTTATTGATATCAATACAACCTGGTGCCGTTGACTTGAATTGACAAATTGACTGTCATGGCCGTACCTCGTTTGTCATTATCGAAGCTCAAGTTCATAGCCAAAAAAAAAGAGGCATAGGGCCGTTTTATTTATTTATTTTTTTTTTTTGCCAAGATAATTGTCTCAAATGCCCCAGAAAGATAAATAATTAAATGAATAAACAAAAAAAACCGGTCTCAGCCGCACCTAGTTCGATTAAAATCAGCTCTAGACACGCAAAATAACTGTAAATAAGTGTGTTTGATGAGAACTATTGATGTTTTCACAAATATGCAAACATTTGTCTGTATTTACTTAAATGCTTACTAATATTTACTCAATTCTGAATGTCTGCTTGAGGTAGTAATGATTCTCATTCATTTTAGATTTGCTTTGTTTTCAAATCGCATAAATTAATTACAACGCCAATGAACACTAAACGAGCTCGTGACATTTTCACAACATTTTACTCTAAATACAATTTGTATACCCCTACAGGTGGAGTCTCAAGGGTATCTTAGCTTTATGTGCAGGTGTATTTAATATAGTATATACGAAGGCTTTTCTTTATGCTCAAGAGACTTTTGTTAGGTAATTTTAATATTGAAAAGGGTAATAATTAACAAAATCTTTGAAATAACTCTCTAATGGAAAATATTTTCAGGTTTTCTTTTTACTTTCTTTCTTTTAAAAAGTGTAAGAAAACAGCTCCCTTTTAGGGAGATCTTTTTGGGCAGCTGTGACTTGGTTTTAAGGATTTAAGGATTTAAAATTCAAAACTTGCTTTAAAATTTCATTAATTTCAAGCTACCATGACCTTATCCTATAAAGAGAATCATTTTAGATTAAAACTCTTGTCTTGTCTCTTGGCTTTCGTCTTGGAATCTGGGTTATTTAAAAACTAGATCACGGACTAGGGGAATGCTTCCATATAGTATATAATATATACTCAAATGTATGACATGGATGTACATATGTGTACCTATTTGTTTTGTTCCCCAGACTGTCTTCTCCCGAGGCTTTTGTGCTTTTGTTTAAGTGACAACGATGACATCACATATAGTTCCACCTACACCGAAACACACAGCAAAGCCAAGCAAAGGCAAAAAATAAAGTGTGAAAAAACAGCAACCAATACGAGGGCAAAGACAAAGACATAAACAAAGGCAAGGAAGGAATCGAAGTAAACAAACAAATATACAAGCCAAATAAAAATATATAATTTACATATCAGCAGCAGACTTGTGTTTATGACTGGGTGTCCCGTTCACTTATGTAAATAATAATGGAGACAAAAGCAAAAAGTATTAGCAACAAACCAACAACGGCGCAAGCGTTTAAACAAATTCTCAGGCGCTCCAACAAAATAATACGAATGAGAAGCACAAAGCGGATCCCCCGATTGGCGTCCAAGGCAAAGTTAATGCGGAGCAGAAAATACGAAAAAAAAGAGCAACCAAAAGCAGTGCCGGCTAAAAGAAGCAAATAAAGCAAATAATAAATAATAATAAAACATGTGAAGAGCATGTGAAGAGGCCGTAGTAGGAACCAAAGCAAACCTGGGTGAAGAAAAAGCTATAAGAAAAAACAACGAAAAACGAACCGAACCGAACTGAACCGTATCTTATCAGCAATTTTTGTTATCGCTGACGTGAAAATAACAAATAACAAAATCAAAGGGAACTAAAAAAAAGAAAGAACGAAAACACACAATTACTGTATAGCAGGCTATAACCAGGTATTGATGAACGAAATGAAAAGCTTCAAAACAAAGTCATTTTGCGATCAATCAGGTGGGATAAGAGGTATCATAGAAGTAAAAAACAGTTAGGATCTAAAGATCGATATTAAATCGGAAACATGACTTTTAAGTTGGTTTTGACTTAATTTTATATTATATTTTGGAAAATATTCATAAATATCAAACATTAACACTGACTAAATCCATTAAAATCCATTATTTTGTAAATTTCGTAAGCACAGGTAGTTTTGAAGACTTCTGGATATGATACCAATGGTTTTATAAATCAATAAACAAATGTAACATAATAGCAAGTGAAAAATCATCAATTAAATTTATATATCAAAAGACAAAGGAGATATCGATTTAGACAATTAAAATTTATAATAAATCAAAAGCATATTAGATATACATCTATTATACATCATAATCCTAAGTAAATAACATGAAAATTGAATGCATTGAAAATAAGATACGAATCGCTGTCAATTAGATGTGTGAGAATTGAATGAATTTTTGTATATAGTTCGTTCTCTTCCTGAATCGGAACCCGGCCGGTATTCTCTTTGAGCTTAGCAACAGCGAAAAATAATTCTTATTGTTGTTCAAGTAATTGCAAGTAGTACGCATTTATCGGCTGCAGTTCGCCTTCTTAAAGTAAATAAATATTTTGCGCATTTCGCCGACTTGGCATGGGACATACAAAAGTTTCATTCTTTGCTATTTTCTTCTGACCAGCAGCTCTTGAAACATTTTCCGCTACGTGGGATTGGCAATATAGCAATTTTCCTGCTGCTTTTCAGATTGTATCTTCTCAATTAGCTGTCACAGACCTCTCAGATCCTTTTTACACCCGTATTTATACACTTGTGTCTACAATCAATTAACAATTAATTAGATAATTGAATTAATTCGCAGGAAGTGCAGTAAATGAGAACTTGCTTTTGCCTTCCGCGTTTGCTTGACTTTTATAGGAACCGATAAGATCCAAAGCACGGATACAGAATGAGATTGTAGAATGACAAATAGCCTATGATCTATGTATAGCTTATAGAGTGAACAAACGGAAGCATCTAAATAGTGGATACTTAACTGTATAATGATAAAGTAATTGAAAAAGCCTATAATGATTATTTAACAAAGTAAGCCTGAGTTGAAGTCCTCGTCATAAGATACCATGGATTTTGTGACTCGATTTAACTAATGTACCTTTAGAAAAATACATAAAATGTACTTAATATTGTGATTTCTATATAACCAAATAATTAAAAAAAAATCAAGTCTCAAAAGGTTTTTATATTTGATATTTTACAAATTGTTTTTCTATGAACACACGTATTGTTGTTTTACCTGTTAAATTTCGTACTCCGTCATTAATTGAATATAAAGAATATTGTTTATACTGTCTGATATATGTAGGATCTACTTTAAAGCCTTCTCAAATATTCCCTAACTTATAGATTTCATATATCAAGTTAGTTATTGTTACCAAACCTAGTTATTAGTGGACAATGTGGAATCACTTCCTCTGGACTATCGTCAAACCAAGTAACCCAATTATGGTGGTGCACTCACCTTGCTTCCATGGATCTGCTGGCTCCAGATAACCGGTGACCAGCTGGTTCTCCGGAAATGAGACGCGACGCGGTATGTTCGAGGCCAGTGAAATGTCCGAGACTTTGCGTTGTAGCAGGCTAGGTGCTGTCGACAGGATGATGCCACGGACGCCTAGTCCAACTCCCGTTCCTCCCGGTCCTCCTGCTGGCGCCGATCCTCCGGAACTGCCAAAATCCGGGCACATGGTCGAGTTGGGATTGGAGGCCAGCGAATCGGTGCGCCATACAGCCGTCTGTCGCGCATCGTGGTATATCTTAATCTTTTGACGTTGCTGCGTTCGCATCTGAGATCAATTGCGGGCGATTCTGAAGCAGATGCAGCAGCAGCAGCAGCCGCATCAGCAGCAGCGACGACGACGACATCAGCTGTTTCTGCCGTTGTTCCTGCTGTCAGCGGCTGACCCTCAGCTGATGTTGCATCTATTTCCTTCGGCGTTGCTGCTGCTGCTGCTGCAGCTGATGTTGTTGCTGCAAGGTGCGTTGCAATTGTTGGCTCCGTTCCATTGCCATCTGTTGTTGTTGTTGTTGCTGCTGCTGGTGTTGTTGTTGCTGTTTGCTGATTGTTGTGCAACATTGTTGCTTTTGCGTTTTTTTGTCGCCGCTGTCGTTCAAGTTTGTTCCTCTTCAAGTTTGCTGGCTATCTCGCACTTTTTACATTTAAATCACTTAATATAATTTTTATTTATATACAACACACGTTTTGTTTTCGTTTTTTTTTATGAATTTATTTTTTTTCTTATTTGTTACTTGTTTTGTGCTTTGCTCGCGCGCTTCCAGTTTACATTTTCGTGTATTAATTATTTCTTCAACTTTGTGTGGGTTAAATCAACTGGAAAAATTGTGTTTGAAATGGGATTAGCTTGCACGAAAAGGTATGGTTGGGATCTTTATTCAAATGTGATTAAAAGACGCAGTGCTCGATTTTGTCAAACGCAGCAAATAATCAGGGGCAACTTATAAACACAAAAAATTTTCCGCTCGAAAATTTCCACCGCCATGTACAGTGGGATTAGAACAGCAGAAAAAAAACCCCATTAGGCTTTCCTAATGTGACTTAGATAAGTGTACATTTACAAGGTTTTAGGTATCGATTTGATCCTTTATTATATGCTTAATAAAAATAATTCGTTTAACTATATTTTAAATACTTTTTAATTGATTTTACTTTTAACCCCACTGTACTATGTAATTCTTCAAAACAAAAGGAAAAAAGACAAAGAGAGAGGCTCTCACGCACACACACACACAGACCGAGCCAAACGCAAAACAACTCTCCGAGCGAAGTGAGCTGGCAAAAGAGAATGGCGTAAAAAAACACATTACCTAATTGTTATTGTTTTTGTTTGCGTTTGCATTGCCAGCGAGAAGAGAAGAAGCCAAGCGAATTGTTTGCTATTGCTGTCTGTTGTCTATCGCTTTTCCCCTGCACTTTTTCGCATTTTTGTTTACCTCACCAGGTTGCCTTTCTCTCACGCGCCCCTGTCCGTGTGTGCAATGTGTGTGTGACTGTGTGTGTGTGTGGGAACAACACGCGCCCTGTTGCATGCAAAACTCAAATTAAAAGGCAAATTGCAATTGGTAATTACAGAAGCAGCCAAAAGGGACAAACAATTGCATGCTCTGGCTGCCGTTTTTGTTGCTGTTGCTGTGTGCCTTGCTCACTTTTCCTCGAATTTCGTTTTAGAATAAATACACAAATTACGTCACGCATGTCGGTGTGTGTTTAAGAGGACAACGGAGTTGTTATTGTTGTAGCTGCTGCTGATCCTGCGTTCGACGGGGAAAAACTCACTATTCCCCAATTTTCCGAGCACTAGGTGTTTTTAATGTGGGTTAAGTGGACGCGGGTTAGAACTGGGTTGTATTTTCACTGCGTTGTTGCCTTTATTTTTCCCCAATTTGGCTTTGGCGCATTTTTATGCACTACATACATACACACATTATTTTTGTTATACAACTCGCGGCGCGAAGGATTAGTGAGGCAATTCAGCGGCGGCGGTGCTTTTTCGAACATTTGACCGAATCGAGTTTTTTATCAATTATCAATTATCAATCCGCGACCAACAACAAAAAAAATTGAAAAAGATGGGGTTGTTGAAAATACATCAAAATATCAAAATTATTTATTGCGTTTTATTATACTTTTTGTTTGGTCACTCTGAATCCCGAAGCTGTTGCTTAACATTTTACATCCTACACGTCTTAATAGCTATTTTACACATTTACAGATACATGGGCTCGAATTTTCATTTTTCATTTTCATTTTTGCGGTCGAATTCTCATGTAGATTGTAAAATTCGTAACACATCCTCTATGATCATTAAGATCTATGACTAGTAAGTATGTATGATCAGTTACTAACTTTGAACACTAATAAACAATGACTTGCAACTTTTGTAACACAACACATTTTAAGACTTGGCAGGCAGCAGTCACTTCGTTCCGGGGATGTTAGAACAGTTGGGAATCATAATCACACATGTGTGAGATTTGTTTTGGGAAAAATTTAGGAGCAAGTCATTTCAATGAAATATGGAGATATCTTCTATATAATTTTACTAGTAGATAGGTCGAAGCATTGCGAATCGGTGGACGATACGGCAAAATAAAGGACATTAATTGTAGTTTTACCCTACCAAGTTTCAATTTCTTCAAACCGTCAGTTTTTGAGCAAATCGCATAACAGTGATCTAACCTCGGGGTCGGCTCCATACAAAATAGGGCATACCAAATTGTAAGGCTTATACCTTCGAGTTTCGAACGCGTGCATATATGCACGGTATATAGGCTTACTAGGGGAAATTAACGAGTATTTGGTAAAAATTACAATTGTTTTTAACTGTCAGATTTCGAGAAAATCGCATAACAGTGGGTGGTGTATTTGGGCTGGTAGCTAAGGCGCGAACTATGAAAATGGAACCAGATGGGGACCAGCAGAGAACCAGTCGCTGAACCAGACCATGGAACCATGTTAAAAAAATACCAAATTAAATAAAAATAGAAAATTGTTGAAACATTAAGAAAAGTGACTGACCGATAAAATTTGGTGGGAATTACATCTAAATCACGGAAAATTACCTAGTTCGTTCTTTTTAGATTTTTTTAGTATATACCGCTGCAGAAAATATTCCTATTAGCCATTTAAACAATTGTATAAAATATGTGTGCCCCATGAATGGAATTGACATTCCAAGCATTTTGGTAGATGTTTCATTAAAATCCGTTTAGCCGTTCAAGAGAAAACATTACTTCTTCATTTATTTCCATAAATGTTCCTACGAAGAATAAATATATCTGGCAGCACTGCCTACCAAAAATTAAGTCAAGTTGATTTAAACTTTATTATAAAACTTATGCTAAATAATGATCGTACCATTAACGGGATCGCTGTTCTGAACATTTTGATCCATGTTTCAACAAAATCCGTTCAGTCGTTCATAAGAAATTCCGAGTTTTTCATTTATTTCCATTTATGTGTCCCGCAGCCCTGCCTACCAAAAACAAGAAAACTTGGTTTAAACTTTATGGCTAAACCTATGCAAAAGGAAGACTGCCCCATAGACGGCATCGCAGTTCTGAACATTTTGATCTATGTTTCATCAAAATCCGTTCAGTCATTAATGAGAAATCCGACATTTTCATTTATTGCAGTTGGGTACCAGGGGTGCATAGTCATGCCTCCTTAGTATATAAATTAATAATTCAAATGTTAATTTCTCCAAAACTACTGAACGGATTTCGATGAAACATTTACCAAATTGCTTAGAATAACGATATCATTTATTGAGCTGACTATTAAATGTTATTTCGAAAATTTGCTTCTCAAATCTAGTGCTTCAATGCCCTTGCTATGTCATATGATTTCAGGTCAAAAATTTGAAACGCAGTAAATAAATTATTTTCGAACCTATAAAGTATATATATTCTTGATCAGCATCAACAACCGAGTCTATCTAGCCTGTCCATTTGTCTGTCTGTCCAATTATAAGCAAAATAGACCCTTATATTTAAAGCTCACTAAATAAAACTTTGCAGTTAGTCTTCTATATACTCTAACTAGTATATAATGGATTAAAATGTTCAGAACTGCGATGCCCTTTATTGCTATTGTATACATACGTCCTACCATTAAGTTTAAATCACATTTTTTTTTTATTTAATATTTTTCGTCGAACATACACACATACATATACATTTATGGCAATAAATGAAAAAGTCAGCATTTCTTATGAACGACTGAACGGATTTTGACGAAACATGGATCAAAATGTTCAGAAATGCGATCCCGTTAATGGAATGGATCTTCATTTTGCATAAGTTTTATAATAAAGTTTAAGTCAAACTGATTTAATTTTAGGCAGGCAGTGCTGCCAGATATATTTATTCTTCGTAGGAACATTTATGGAAATAAATGAAAAAGTGATGTTTTCTCTTGAACGGGTGAACGGATTTTGATGAAACATATACCAAAATGCTTGGAATGTGAATTCCATTCATGGTGAATGCATATTTTATACAATTGTTTAAATGGTCAATAGGAATATTTTCTGGTGGGCCATTCATCGATAGGGTGTGGGAGGCACCCCTATCGATATGTAGCCAGTGTTTGCGTCATAACATTCAGCCGCGATATATCTAAAATAATTTTCTTTACATGGTTCCATGGTCTGGTTCAGCGAGTGGTTCTCTGCTGGTTCCCATTTGGTTCCATTTTCCTAGTTCGCGCCTTAGCTATCAGCCCAAATACACCACCCACTGTTATTCGATTTTCTCGAAATCTGACAGTTAAAAATAGTTGAAATTTTCACCAAATATTCGTTAATCTTCCCCTAGTAAGCCTATATACCGTGCATATAAGCACGCTTTCGTAAATCGAAGTTATAAGCCTTACAATTTTGGATGCCCTATTTTGTATGGAGCTGACCCCGAGGGTAGATCACTGGTATGCGATATGCTCGAAAAGTGGCGGTTTGAAGAAATTGAAACTTGGTAGGGTAAAACTACAATTAATGTCCTTTATTTTGCCGTATCGGATATTGCTGCATCCAAATGTCAAATACTTTCAAAACCATTAAAAACAATAGCAAATTTATTTTTTAGCATTTAGAAACTTTATTTTATTCGAATTAGTGCCCTTATTACGAAATAAATGAAAAATTAAAGATCCCCTCCATGTTCCATTTTCCCACCGTTCCATTTCGACGCTAACTCATCGACTCTAATTTGATGGACATAGCTGTTTTTGGTTTTTGTAATATTGGCTTTCTGGTCACTTGAGTTCCGAAGCTGTTACTTTACATTTTAGGCGTCATATTTTACACGGCCGGATAACTGCTTATACGGTTACAGATACATGTAGTATTCTTATGAAGTAAGATTCATTAACAGACCTGCTCTCATTAACAGAATTTTCTCTAGTTTCTGGCCACTTCGAATCACGAAGCTGTTATTTAACATACCGGAAATATGTAAGGTACTTTGATTTATTTATTTATTTATCGCAGCAAATGTAATTCCAATTTTATAAAGTTTTAAATGTATTGTATGTAATGTAAAACAATTTAAATAAATAATTTTTACGAATACATGTGTGTATTTAGGTACGTTTTGAATAACAAATTCAAATCCATAACTGAAAGATACACAACTTTCCATTATTAGCATCACCCGACTACAAAAAGAACACCGAAATTATTCCTTAAAAGGAGGCAGTCCGAATATCTCCGGCTTAAACTTTTCGAGCGAGCTTAGCACCTGTGTGGCATGGGAACACTTTTCCTGTGGCATCCGCGGATCGGGAACCATGACCACCTGCATGCCCGCACTCATGCCAGCGGTAACCCCGTTGGGAGAGTCCTCGAAAACCAGACAGTCAGCGGCAGCGGGTGGCACATCGAACCGGGCAGCTGCCACCAGAAATATATCAGGAGCAGGCTTGCCATTTGCCACCTCCTTATCGCTGGAACCACACTTTATGATTGAATAAACCGAACAGCTCCGGTGATCGGTGGTCTTAAGCTGCATCATGTGGAGGCCAGAGCTGGTGGCCAAAGCAAATGGCGTTTTAGTGGCATGAAGGTGACGCAGTAAGCGCTCAGCACCTAAATTGGTTTAAGAATTAGCCAAGTTATAATAGATGGTATTCAGTTTGGCAGTAGGTATTTAAGGGGGAATAGCGTCCTGGTCTAGTGCTAACCTTCCAGCAGGGGAACTTAGTTGATGGCCAATCATTGATCCGTGCTAGAAGAAGGCAGTACCTGGCATCAATTGGGAGTGTAGCATCAGTTTTTCGGTGTTAGCCTGCTGCCGCTTGGCCCACTCTTCCCAGGGAATGGGCAGGTCATAGTGCTGGACCATAAACTCAGCAGCTGCTCTAGTCTGCAGGCCCATGATCTGTTCCTTGACATCGAATGTAAACTCCTTGCCATAATCATCGAGGATCATTTGCATGGCCTCCGAGTAGAGACGCTCCGTGTCTGTTTGGATTATAATTAAAATCACTTTATAAGCATTAATAACAGCAACGAACTCACCCAAAAGCAAGCCGTCCATGTCGAAGATGCAGTGTGTCACTTTCTTGATTTATTGTCCATCACGCTGTTCTCCAGACTCACGTCAATTAGTTATCTAATAGTTAAGATAAGAGGTCTTAATTTATTTCATCATTTGATGGACAGCCTACACGTTTTTGGATTTCTCCAGGTGATTATTTAAAGGTGTGCGTGGTCCAAGGATAATTCAAAAACGGTTTCAAGATCACACTTATTTGAAAATATGACCTTGACCTACTTGTAATCTGCTTCCGTATTTAAAAAAAAAAAATGCAAAATGTGTGTTTACCAAATACAGCTGATAAGACTAGAGGTGGAGCAACATCGATAGATCGAGAGTTCTAAGATTGTTGTCGGTATCGATATCGAAGTTTAATGGCAAATAAAATGAACCATAAAAACTCTTTGTTTATTAATTTAATTTTTAAAAATGTATTTTAAAGCCAACAAAATTTGTTTATATTTTTACCTTTTTTAAACAAATATTATTTGGAAAACAAAATCGGTCTGGGAATATCGACGTGCTCACACCTCTGCGCTTTTACCGAAATTTTTAAACATTAGATAAAACTAATGAATTCTTCTAAGTTTACAAGTAGTAGTTTAAAACCCCTTAATAAACCCAATTTAAAAAGCATTCGCACAATTTACGTGTATATTAAGTAACATTTAGGCATAGGACCCATTGCAGGGTAATAGGTACACAAATTTCCAGTATTAGCGTCGCCTGGCTACAAAAAAGAGACTACATCAATAAGCTCATAATTAATCCGTGAAAGGCGGCAGTCCAAACTGCTCAGGCTTGAAGTCAGCAAGAGAGCGCAACACCTGTGTGGCGTGGGAACAACACTCCTCGGATAGTCGCGGATCCGGCACCATGACCACCTGCATGCCGGCACTATTGGCCGCTGTCACACCATTGGGCGAATCCTCAAACACCAGGCAGTCGCCGGCAACGGCTGGCTTAGAAAATCTACTGGCAGCCACCAGGAATATGTCGGGAGCAGGCTTGCCGTTCGCCACCTCCTTGTCGGTGGAGCCGCACACCTTGTGATTGAACAGAGCAAATAGTTCCTTGTGATACGTGGACTTTAGCTCGACCATGTCGGCTCCAGAGCTGGTGGCCAAGGCGAAAGGCACTTTGTTGGCGTGCAGATGACGCAAAAGGCGCTCAGCACCTGAAATAAAAACGAAAAATAGAATTAGACACTCATTCAGGAATGAAAGGAGCTTCTGCTCAGCAGGAGTTATTTATAGGGATAGAAAAGCGTCGTGTCGTAGTGGTCGAGGTCGTTGTGGTTGCTAACCTTCCAGCAGGGGAACATTGCCGAGCCGCTCGTGGCACAGTTGGGAGTAGCGCTTCAGAAAGTCGGACGTTGTGATGGGTAGCTGGCACTCGGTGATGGCTATCTCCGCCGACCGCTTCTCTGTGGTGCCCATGACTCGGAACCGTGTGGCCTCCGGATAGGGTCGGCCGAAGGAGGCGGCTATTTGCCGTGTGACCTCCTCGTATATTCTTTCCGTGTCTGAAACATGACAGCAAAGGGAATACGGGCATTAGTACCTGGCATCAATTGGGCATTCCGCATCAGTTTCTCGGCATATGTGCGCTGCAGTCGAGCGTATTCCTCGCAGGTTATAGGCAGGTCATACTGTTTGACCATAAACGCAGACAATGGGCCCGTCTGTAGCCCATCAGCTGCTCCTTGACATCGAACGTGAATGTCTTGCCATACGGATCGAGAATCATTTGCATGGCCTCCGAGTAGAGACGTTCCGTGTCTGTTTAGCATGCGGTTAGAAAAGAACAGCATTTAATCACCCAAAAGGGGACACCAACTCACCGAGCAACAGGCCATCCATGTCGAAGATGCAGTGCGTCACATTTCTCAGTACTTTCTTGGCCATTTTGCGCTATCCTAATTCCTCAGGGCGGCAGTCGGTTATATAATCGTTGGTCGAAAGGTGGTTTGGCTGTAACACGAAGGCTCTAATTAATTTCATTACTTCCTTGGCATTCATCGTTATTTCGCATCCCCCTTTGAAAAGGTTTTATTTATGCGTTTCCTTGATGCATATTGCTCTCTAATTGGTGGTGTCCTTGACCCAAGGACGTCTCACAAAACACGAAAGTTGGGTCACTGATAAGAGTGGTCTCCAACTGCGTGACCTTGACCTACACGTAATCTGCTTCCTGTTTGTAGTTTTCCGTTGTATTTTTCCGCTTTTTCCGCTGCGCAAGCTTTTCGTATCGTAAGTATGACCGTGGACAGAGTTGCAAAAAAATGTCAGAGAATGGTGAGAATGTTCTAAATTTGGGAAAGATTTGCCAAATCTGTTCTCACTACCGCGAGAGGAAAAATACACAAGCTTTAACCGTTAGGCTTGCCAAATATTTTGAAATTATCCCTTATAGGTGCATTGTGACAAACGAATTGTCATTTAAAGTTTGTATTCCCTTGTAGATTGTAATTAGATTATTAATAATTAATACAAAACAAATTATATATATATATATATATATATATATATATATATGTTAAAAAACTTCGAATGCCGACATTCGTTACTATACTATATTTACAGTTTTATATTCACAGTTTTGCATTTTCGACTACATTCAGCAATGGCAGCATTTCCAATGGCAGCTATATTAAATAGCAGTCGGATTTTTATAAATTTTACACATAACTTTAGAATAATAATAAATTGCTATATTTTAAACTTGATGAAAATCTGTTTAAAACTTAAGAAGTTATAATTTTTAATTGTATTAATTTCTCGATCGTTCCTATGACAGCTATAAGATATAGTACACCGATTTTCATAAAATTTAATGGTAGAATCATATGAAATGGCTAATCTCAAATTTGATGAAAAGATGTTAAAAACTGAAAAAGTTATAATTTTTAATTATATATATTATATGTCGTTCGCTTATATGACAGCTATATTATATAGTAGTCCGATTTTCTTACAATTTTTTTTACAAAACTAAATAAATATATAATGGCTATATCTCAAATTTTAATAAATTTTGTTGAAAAAGTTATCATTTTTAATTGTATTGATTTCCTATGGCAGCTATATGATATAGTACTCAGATTTTCATAAAATTTTAGAAAAATATAAAACGCTATATATCAAAACTGTTGAAAATCTGAAATAGTAATAATTTTTTTTTAACTTCTCGATCGTTCCTATGGCAGCTATATAATATAGTAGTCAGATTTTTATAAAATTTTACACAAAACTTTGGAATAATATAAAATGGCTATATATTAAACTTGATAAAAATCTGTTAAAAACTGAAAGATATATTTTTTGTAAAAATTTCTGAGCGTTCCTATGGCAGCTATAAGATATAGTATTCTCATTTTCAAAACATTAAATTGTAGAATCATAAAAAATAGCTATATCTAAAATTTGATGAAAATATGTTAAAAAGTTATAATTTTTGTTGTAAAAATTTTCCGATCGTTCCTATGGAAGATATACATATGTAAAAAACTAAAAAATTATGTTTTCCTAAATCTTTTCAGATTGTTTATATACGAGTGAGAGTATATAGAAAACTGACTGCAAAGTTTCGTTCAGATAGCTTCAAAGCTGAGACTAGTTTGTGTAGAAATGGATAGACGGCCATTTCTAGATCGACTAGGCTATTCAAGCTGATCAAGAATATATATACTTTATAGTGTCGGAGATGACTCCTTCACTGAGTTTGCAAACTTCTGACAAAAATTATAATACCATGCAAGGGTAAATATCTATATACAATAACAAAAAATCTCTATAAACAATATTCTTGTATTATAAATAAATTGAACAACGTTAAAGGAAAACCCAGTAAAGCACAAAATTTAACAACTTTCTTCAATTAAAGTTCCATCTTCTAATTAAACATTTTAAGAACTTCCTATAAAATGTAGTAACCAACACAGTTTGTAGGAATAGCAAATGTTGTTTTTTTTTAAATTTATTAAAAACAAATACATTTTTGATGGTCGAATGTAAGCCATTTGCTTGTTTTTTCTGTAGATGTGGAATCTGTAAAAGAAAAGATAACAATCAGAATGGGGGTTTGGAAAAGGAGAGCAAATGCTTTAAATAGCTTTTATATACCGCGACCAAAACTCACCTTAACTTAGGCGCTCAGCAAGCACACACCGCCAGCCTTCTTGATCTTGTCTCGGCCTTCTTCGAGAAGTACTTGGCCTTGACAATGACAGGACGAGCGGGCAGGTGACCACGGCCCAGCAGCTTGTAGTAGCCCTAAAAAGGAGAACAATAGTGGTTAGCCAAAGTCTTACAAAGAGCTCCAATTGCATCTGCATGTCGATATCTGCTGGCTTTGATCTGAAAGGCTGTTCTCTACATGGTGAGAGCAATTGTACGGTCGCATTCTGTCCGCCCATCGCCTTGGGTGTCTCTTCATATTATAAGCAGCAGCAGAATCACATAGCAGCATCCAAATGGCGTGTAGAAACTTACGAATTTCACCAAGTCGATGACGGGAGCCTTAGTGCTCTTCTCCTTCTCCAGCTCGGCGAACTTCTCGGCTCCAACCAGAGACCAGAGCTTGTCCAGATTGATCTCGGGGCGGAACTTGTGCTGGCGGCGCAAGTGGAAGTTCCTCATACCAACCTTGCCAAAGTAACCGGGATGGTATTTGTCAAAGTTGATGCGGTGGTGGTGCATGCCACCAGCGTTACCGCGACCTCCAGGATGCTTGCGGTGCTTGCCGATACGACCGTGACCATGGCTTACATGACCGCGCAGCTTTCTGGTCTTCTTCCGCTTGATATTCGACTGAAAAGAGCGCAAGAAAAACGTGTTAAAATTACACTTTTCCAACACACGTGCGACAGCTGAGTGGCGACGGCAGCGGCCGCATGTGGAGGTTATGTTTACGTTGCTGCTGTCGCCTATGCCGTCCCATTGCTCACATTTACATAGTGCTCGTCACGCAGGCAAGCTGCGGCACATTTAGCAGATTTAGTCTTCATGTGGGGCCTTTGCAAGCCCTCAAACAACTTTTTAACTGCACCACAACACACCGACGTCCACTCACCATCTTGAAAAATTTTCGAAAGAACGAAGTGAAGTTGGCTGCGGATCTGGGTAGAGGTGCAAAAACATCGATGACAATATCGATGCATCGATGTTTTTAAGTCATCGATGTTTTTAGTCGACCATCGATGTTTGAGGGCCTATCAAAGAAAAAGCAAAGGAAAGGTACGTAAAAGTCAGATTATTTTTATTTTTGAACTAAATTTTATATTATAATATATATATGATGTTTCTGTCGTTCGATAGGCGGGACATCCTATCGATATTATATCGGGGTGAGAGAAAGTGGTGGAAGTCCAAGCTATAAGTTGGTTCTAACATAAGATAAATTTGGTCACCCTGATTACCAAGCGAAATATATTTATTTATATAATTTATCGTAGGTATAATGATTACGATGATATAAATGATATTTAATAATGTATACGGCGCTATGGAGCTAAAGCAAAAAACACATACACAGACAGCGCCAAGCCGTCGTGTTTCAAGTTTAGGGACTTGCAAAAAAACCATATCTGGCCAGAAAATAGCCGAGCTGCAACACTGCTTCTGGGTAGTAGCGGAGCATAGCGATATTATCATACGTCGGACCGCTATCGATGTTTGAATATAGTTTTAAATATATCGATATTTTGCACAATCGATGAAGTGAACTGACAAGAGTGCTGTAAAGCGCACGCATTGTGCTGTTAGGCGGAAGCTTTGTGCTGTTATGTGGAAACTCTGTGCTGTTAATGGCAAATAATGTGGTGTTGTCCGATATTTCAAGTGCTGTTAGGCGAAGAATGTTAACAATTTTAACAGTTCTGTTAAGCACAATGTTAAATACCTAAAATTGTTTACTTTTATATTTTCTTTTTGTATTTTTAAATATTTAACAAATTAGATTTCGTCTACGAGACGGAAGCGCTGATGCTGCTTCTCGGCACAACATTAAAGAACTTCTTGTAGATGGTCTGATCCTGGCGTCCGGCATAGTTCCTCTGAATCCAGGTGTGATCCCAATTAGGATCTATTGGCTCGCAGGTCACATACACCTTGCCGTGCTCCATGGCAAATAGGGTTCCATTACGACCAAAGCCCACCTTTTGGACAAATCATAATATAAAAACATGAAGGTATTGAAATCTTGAGTACTCACATTCAGGCCCGGGTGAAAGCGTGTTGTGAGCTGTGTGGCCAGGATGGTGCCTCGGAGACGTGGTGTCCGTCCTGGACGCGCCATCCGCGATGTTTTGGCCTCGCATGTCCCTTCTTATTCCTCGTACTTCCACCGGTCTTCTTGCTGGCATTCCGGATGGTGGCTATAATTTAACATGATCAGTTAACTCTCCTTTTTGGTGACACAAATACAAACTTATCAGTGGCTGGTCCACCTTCAGACACTGCATTGTCACTTTTGCATTATATTGAACGACATTTTTGCGCTTTTTAAGACAAAAAAATAACGAGGTTTATTTTGTTTATGCAATTTCCATGGAACAGTGTGACCAGATGGGAAAAAGTAAATGATCCAACAAAATTCCGAGTTAATGGTTCCACCCCTCCGTCTTAAGTATTTTTTCGCGCCACGGCCACACTGCTATTTACACGCCCAAAAATTTAATAAATTTATAACGCTCTTTGAAAATTCCATAATAAACGATGAAGAATCTCGAGAAATGTGCGCTGGCTGTGGTCCTGCTCTGCTGTCTGCTGCAAGTGGGTGAGTTTTTTCCCCGGAAAGTGGCCACTGCGCCGGCGCAACCCGCATAAAACAAACATTGTGTTTTTCCCTGCAGGCCAAGCCATCAAATGCTGGGATTGCCGAAGCGACAATGATCCAAAATGCGGAGATCCCTTCGACAATAGCACACTGGCCATCACGGACTGTCAGCAGGCACCGGAACTGGAACATTTGAAGGGCGTGCGGCCTACCATGTGCCGCAAAATCCGACAGAAAGTCCATGGGGAGTGGCGCTACTTCAGGAGCTGTGCATACATGGGTGAGCCCGGAATCGAGGGAGACGAACGCTTCTGCCTGATGCGTACCGGCAGCTACAACATCTTCATGGAGTACTGTACGTGCAACAGCAAGGATGGTTGCAATTCGGCAGGCATCCATCGCCTGGGCTGGATGGGCGCTCTGTGTGGCACTTTAGTGTCTGTGTTTGTGGCGCACCTCCTGCGGCAATAGTTGGAACGGGATCTATCCACTCCTGTAGCCAATCCCAATGCCTGATTTCCACAAGACTGTCTTGGCTTGAAAAAGGGAATGTATTAATGTTAATGCTGAAGAAATTATGATATTCCTGCTTATTCAACGATTAAGGTTTGGAACATCTAAAAATATCGTATTCCAAATGAAGCTATCTCTAGAAGATTTCAGCATTATCCTGTTCTTTGAGCCTAGGCAGTCTTTTCTTTGCAATTCAAGTGCCTTTTCTACAAACGACTCGACTTTTTATGTAACTTAAACCAAGGAAAACTATTTCCGTCCAGATGAATCTTACGCACATGACATTCCCCATATCTTGTAAGCTCAATCTTTTAATCTCCACCACTTTGTGTCTTATATAACTATATATATATATATTTTGTAATGTGCGTTTATACAAAGAAATGCCTAGGTTTTGTATGTCGCTTACAAGTTTTTATTGTAACGCCAAGGACAAGTAGAAACATTTGTAATTGAAATAAACGATTTATACACAAATAAGTAAAGAAATTTTAAGAAACATAGAGACAAGAAAGCAGATACTTCCAATAGAAAGAGGTTTATAATGGAATTATTAATTTTATTTATTTTTCATATTTTTCTTACCAAACTTGACAGTTGTCTGTTGAATTTAGGACCGCAGATGTTGGACAGTTAAAAATCTCTCCAAAGTTGGGAAGATTTCTCATTGCCTGGCCTAGACGCACCTCATCCGTGTCCGCTGCTCCGTAATCCAAATACTTGGCGTCACCCAAAAACCACTGGGCTATGCTGAGCAGGAATAGCTGCTTCAATGGCACTTCAGTAAAGTCCGGCTGCTTTTGGTCAAACTGAGAACCCTCTCCAAAGTAAGCATCATAGGCAATTCCCAGGCTGACCACATCGATCACCCGCTTGGCTAGATTATTCGTTTGAGTGGAATTCAAGCAGGCGAGGGCTTCCTTATAGCTTGGGTAATCCTCGAAAGAACGCAGCACTTCGCCATAATTTCCATTGCCATCGTAAGGTAGAAAATATGGTGTAAAGTTCTCCATCAGTTTGCGGGTCAACAGGTAACCCAGTAGGCTCATCTTGAAGACGTCATGCTGGCCTTCAGTGGCAAGCACGGGCTCCCGTAGCATTTCATAAACCAGGACGATGGTATTTCCGCTGACTTCGAACCAAGGCACGGGATTATTGTTAGAGATTTCATCATAGAGCAGAAAGAAGCCTTCGTTTTTAGAAAAAGCTCCATCCAGTTGCTCCAGCACTCTTAGTGTTCTTAGCTTTAAGACCTCCAGTTGAGCCTTGGCAAAGTCCGGCTCCGAGTCCAGTTCCAGACCCTGATAGAAGTCGGTGACAAAGCGGCGATGATTAGCTTTGCTGGGTAAAATGCCAACGGTTAATGTCATGGCCAGCAGTTTCTCCTTCAAGGCACTGACATCCACCGAGCTCAAATTCAGGTGGTTCTTCTCTATTCTATTTTTGAAACTTTGTTTAATGGCTTCAAAGATCCTCTGGACTTCCGCTGTGTACTCCTCTAGCTTTTTAGTTCCCAGATAATGGTCTTCATAGAGGAGATCGCTAGCATGTTCCATTTGGAAACGCACGGCATCAAGACACTTTTCGGAATCACCATCTGGTCCACTGCCATCTAGAGCCATTATAAAGTTTACAAACTTCACCATTAGGTAGCTGACCACCACATCCTTGTCGTAGCTATGAAGGATCTCCTCAAGGCCCTCCAGATATTTAATATTTTGCACCTCGACCTTAAAGGAGCCATTGAAGGACCGGCCAAAGACTATCTTAAGATACTTTTGCAACTGCAGTTCCGTCCGGTTCTGGAGCTCGGCTAGAGTGTAAAATTCATTGGTAAAACCATCCTCGTCCAGGCTAACTGATTCCTTGTTCTCTTCGGCTAAATTAAAGAGATCCGTGTCCAGGCGAACTAGTTGTTAGCCAGAGATGGAACCTGGCTGCTGTCCACGCCGATGTTAATCAGCAGATCAGAGATGTTGTCGGCCTCCTGGAACTTTTCAGCATCGGGCATGTATAGGTTCACTACGAACTTGTTGGTGTCCTTGGCGTCAGGCTGTACGTTCATCCTGATTATGAAATTCTCCATTCCATAGCGTCGGAGATGAGCCAGCGTGCGCAACCAATTGAAGTCCACTTGGAGCCACTTATCCTTCTCGTGGGCGAACTGCGGCCAGGTTAGATTCACATCCGGGGAGACCAGCTCCAGGTAATGTTTCGGCGAGCGGGTTGCCTCGGATGCCATGAGACAGGTTTCGTAGTACCGCCACACCTTCTCCTCCACTGAGTTTGCCTCGGTGAAATCTTTATCCTTTAGTTTATCAAGTATAGTTTGCATTCTATTATTAAAATTTAGAATGACAATATCGGGAATGGAATAGATATCATCCTGGTCATCCAATCCATTGAACTTGCCGTGGCGTAGCGGTAAAACTCCTCACAGGGATTGGCATCCTTGTCCATGTGACGTTCTACGAAGTCAAGGATCCAATCATTGATGGTGGTGTCATTGGAAGCTCTTGGAATTTTTGATCCTTCTACAAAGCTTAGCATAGCACAAGCAGGGAACAAATCTGGTAATTCTCTTCATCTTCGACAACACACTGATGTGTCCGGATCACAAACGGATACTTATATAGCCACCGAGATAACGCCGGTAAAACAAAAACAACAATTACTCATAGCTCGGTGATTAAAATAACAGGTCTAATTAAAATATAATATGTGTATGCATGTAGGAGACTTGAATTAGAGCTAAGCATTGACGCTATTACTAAATATTTGCACAAAATAGTTGTGTATCGACAGTTGCGACTAATTAAAATAGGAATATTTAATCTTAGATACTAGCAATAAATAAATATAACTGAAATTATTAAGAATTAAGAATTATGTAAATTCTACAACTGGATTTATCGATTTACTACAAAATTCACACGAAACTGAATTTGAATAGGGGTGAACCAATTAAAGTAACAATATTTAATACGATAAATATGCAAGTAAATATTTGAAGTAAATACTAAGCCTGACAATAAAAGCTTGTTTAAAAGGGGGTTTATTGATTGGTTAATTATTTTAATGAAATAATGAGCTGTCCAAAATAATGTTTCTAATTTAAAAATTAATGATAATAATCACCGATTTGCGTACATAACCTCATTTCTTGTAAATACTGTGACTCATTTAGTTTGCCGATCTGGTAACTCTAGTATATAGCTGCATCCTTCTCCCGCTTGTGCTTTTCCGTCATTCTTTTCCTTTTCCTCTTTATTCTTGTGTTTCGTTGCGTGCGCGTCACCGGGCTTTTAATTAAGTGTGTTTTTTGTGCGTTTTTAAGCTTTGCTAAACTATTAGCTATGTTTAAAAACAACCAATAACTGGTGCAGTGTTTGTTTATCGAGATTCGTTAAGCGTTGTGTTTCGAGTGTTAACTAAACTGTGTGCCAGTGTTACTTTTTTGGTGTGCCGATTGTAACTTTATGTCGCCATCTTTTAACCGCTTTTCTTTCGGTGTTTTCTCTGTTCCGTGTTTTTTTTTTGTTGTGACCATACGCTTCAAACAATTGAAAAAATATTAACTTAATAATGGATTGCTGTTATAACATTGAGTTTAAAAATAATTTAATGAAAGCCCAAGATGTTTTGCAAGATCATATAATACAAAACTTTAATCGGATGGGACTGCAGCTGAGAGAAAATTACAGGTGATTATAAAAAGGGTATACAATAATTATTATTTAGTTAACTTTATTCAATGATTTCAATTAAACAATTTACATTTCTTTCTTTTTTTTTTGTACAGGTATGTTATTAACATTTATTACATAAGATTCCTGGATATCGGATTCGGCTTCACAACGACATCTGCAGGGCGAAGATTGCCAAGAGAGCCGTTGCACTCAGAGCAATAAAGCGTCCTGAACTGGATGCATTGCACAAATCACCTTTGCAGGTAAAACAGCTCTCCACCTGGCGGCTGTGCGTCACCGTGCACTCGTTGTCCTTTGGCCAATAGACTCGAAGTGGCAATCACGGGATACAATGTTCCAGCACGGTCTGGGGGGATGGTTAAAATAAAAGAAGGTAGAACAAGGTGGCCATTAGAGATGGGTTAAATAGGGTTATAATTGTCACTTAATTATACAAAATTTTAAGCTATTTCAGCTATATTTCAGCGTGTGAGAAAATAATAGAAATAAGTTAAAGACTTTACATTTAATACGTAATTTATATTAAGTTTGTTAAAGGCTGTATGTAAAGTGATTATTACCCATTAGTATGTATTGCCAGGAGCATTTAAACACTATACTAATATTAATTAATAAGTGCATTATAAGTTTAAGTATCTCAGAAAATAACTTTTGCTTACAGTGTATTTGAAAATGTAAACAGTGCCTATATTTCTTTAAAATTTATGTATCTATATGTTTATTTTAAAGCCTTCTCCTTCAAGCATATATTATGTGCGTAAATATGCAATATTTCAGCAAATTTGCGTTTACGTTTCACCCTTTTTGTTAAAACAATTCGTTTTTACAGAAAAGGCGGCTAAGGAAACTCAGAGAATGCAGTTGTACAAATAGTTTAGATTCTAATAATATACAAAACTAGCATCTTGATGAAACTACCAGCCGCCTGCTGTAACATTTTATAGAGCCCTGAAAACGGTCTCTAACAATACACATTTAAAATATTGGGATGCCATATATTATATATAAGCTGTACTTATAATGAGTCATAAGTTATAGTGAAAAATCAGTTTGGCAGTTACAATTAACTTGATATATAACTTACTTATAGTATGACTATAACAAAGTTTTTTATGGTATTACTATAAGTAAGTTATATCTGTGAAATTCGTTTAATATTTTATTGTAAAGTGTTTCAGCTCACTTATTTTTGGTTTGTGGTGTTGAAATTTATTAATTTTTAAACATAATATCGGACATTTCTTGCCAAGACAGTAATACCTTATGTATATTAATCTCATTCACTTATTTATACTTGTGATGTTGTAATTTATTAGTTTTTAAGTGTCTTTAAACATATCGTTAATTTCTTGTTCAAAATTCAAGCCCCATGTGTATTCACCTCATCCACCCATTAAGGAAACTAATTTCAAAGACCTTCTTTAACTGCTTCAAACGCTCTGTCGCCTTACGCCTAAGATACGCACTGTATTCGCTTTGCATACGATGTCTAAGTTATTGTTTTGTTTGCCATATGTTGATTGGAATTTGGAACCCAACCTCCTCCCCGATCTCGTCTATCTTAGCCCGGTGACATCACGTCTCTCATTTGAGTATTTAATGCGTTCAAGGTGCGTGCTTGTGTTTCTTTAAATCGAATCAGTATGCACAATGGGAATCACTGAGGATTTTTCACTCACCACTGGTGACCACCTTGTTGCACCTGGTCACTGGCTGCAGTTGCTCCATAGTGTTCGGTTTGGGCACCATATCGCAATCCACCGACCGGATATTGGAGGCGGCATCGATCTTCTCCTTGGCGCAGTTCGGATCCGTCAGGGATTTGCACTGATAGCACTTGATGGCCGAGGCTATAGGTAGAGATAGATGTGAATTTTTGAATTAATTAATATTCATTGAGCAAAGCTAAGGCTTTTGTCAAGGTCACAGATTTGAATTTGCTGAGAGAGCTTGTAACCAGTTTGAGATCTCCATTTCTCACACACTCGCTTGCTTGCCTTATGTAACGCCCTCCATGAAATAAACAATAAATAAACTCTATATGCACGTAAACTTCTCCAGATTCCCCTGTAATTTGTCGGCTATGAAGTCATTTCTATATATTTGAATTTGTAAACGTATGGAAAAATACGTGAATATTTTTACTTGTTTATTTTGGATTGTTTGTTTTTTGTATGTGATTTTTATTGGCATTTGTGGAGGCGTGCGTTTCTTGAATACTTTGTCATTTGCGTGATGATTTAATCCTTAGTTTTGTTAAATATACATTATATTGAGACTAAAGACCTTTAGCTTAATTTTGACCAAAGATTATTTTTTTAATGTGTTCATTTTATAAGGAAGAAATGTAATTTAATTTGAACTCATATACAAAGTTGCTTTAACTAAATTCACTTGACATATTTTTGTTTAGAACTACAAACAGATTTTTTAAACCACTTTTTATATTGTTTTCTAAAATTACAAAAAGTTTTCACTCAAAACTGGTTTTGATTTGACACACTTTATTTATTACATAGTTCCCGGTTTAAATTTTCTCAAAATAGGAAATCACTTACCCGTGTGCATCACACACAAGGCAACAAAAAGAACAGCAATCACTTGCTTCAGCATATTTGCTAAATATTTCTTTTTAATATATTTTAGATATATTTAAATTGCAAAAACAGCACAGAGTAAACTTTCGTTTCGAAGCGTTTGGCAGACGTTGAACTACTGAAATTTGCGTTAGATTTGTATTCGGTTCGACTCTTTGCAGTCTTTCAACTCGTTTTCGAGACTCGGAGACTGAGATCGTCAAGAAAAGCTTTGCTAATTCACTCAAAGCCCGCATTAGTTGTTGAGTGAAACTCTGAACGAGTTCTCTTCGGTTTATTATTATTATTATTATGTCACTCGGGTGAACAGACCACGCACAAAAAACTATTTTGTTTTGATCGCCAACTTCGTAGGCGGTGGAATTTTTCTCAGCACTTTGCCGTTGTTATCCATTGATTGTTTGATACATTTTTTATTTTTCCGTGAATTGACTGCGGTCTATGGAACTATGGGATTTTAGCTGTAATTGAATTTAGTTGGCGGAATGATAATGGAATTTAATTGCAAATTGACACAGTTTTTGTGATTTGGGTTGTTGAACTATTATTTATGGGGGAGAGGTGAACGAAAAGATCTTTTTAATATAGATCGCGGATACTATATTCATGATTCATTCCATTATGTTTGTGCTCCTCATGAAAAGTCTATGTTGAACTACAAAAAGTAATTTAAGTATATTAAGCTTACAACTGTTTTTTTTTAACACTTCCAGGGTATTATAATTTTAGTCAGAACCTTTTAAATCAGTAAAGAAATCATTTCCGACCCTATAAATCATATATATTCTTGATCAGCATCAACAGCAGAATCGATCTAGCCATCTCTGGCAAAAAAATTAATTTTTTAATTTTTTCAAAGTTTTTTATGGGTTAACTTCTTTGAAATTGTCAAAAACTTTACAAAAAATATAATTTTTTAAATTGGAAAATTTTGTATGTAGATTTATTAACCTAATAAAAACTAACATTGGAAAGCTTTCCGAATTAAAATCAATGCTTTTTTGGCTTAGTTATGAGTCATTTAAACTTTGATTTGTCGAAAAAATATGTCATATAAAAATCTATAAATATATTGATTCACAGAACGCGAATATTTAAAACTTATGTAGTTATGATCGATTTCTAATCCTATCCTATCCTATAATTCAGTTGTAAACTGCAAGGGTATAAAAGCTTGGGTTTCCCGAACACAGTTTCCTTTCTTGTTAATATAATGTTTACTTTTATTTTGATTTTATTTAATTTCTTTACCCTTGTGCTTAAAGATTAAAGGTCACTCAATAAAATATAAGGTTCTATAGTTAAGAAATGCGAAAAAGGCCATTACAAAAAATATATTAGATAAAAATAATCAATAAATACCTCCTAACTCTTCATAAAATCACTGCCTTTTTAAACATCTTCTTTGAGTTTTTTTATTTATTACGTTGGATAATTATCCCCACAAAAGTTCAATGTCCTTGAGCAGCTGTTGTAATCCTTTTCTCTATTGTTGTCTCGTCTGCTGCAGTTATTTTTTTTTCAATCTGCTTATCGTTTTTTTTTTTGTTCATATTGATTGCTTATTTTGTTGTAAGCTATTTGAGAAATCGACTCATTGAAATCTCGCCCTTCTGTCTGTTGTCATGACAAAACTGGTCTATGGTCCTTAAGAAAATTCAGCAGACAAAAGAGCACAAAGTTCTTTTTATATATATAGGAAATATCAGTAGATTATATATCAATAATTTAATTTCAAAGTAAAAACTTTAACTGAGTTAACTGAAAAAATTGTTACACTTTAGCAGCTTCTTCATGCTAAATTAACCTCTCTAAAAAGTTGTAGAGCTTTTTGAGCGAATTTTTGTTGAGTTAAGATACAAAAAACTCGTTTCAATTGCGCAGCAAAAACAAAAATTTAACTCGTTGGGTTTGTGTGTACATTTTGAACAAAATATCACAATGAGCAGGTATTTATGAAATATACTAATATTTATATTTTAATTGGTTTTCAAACCTTTCAACCTCTCAAATAATGTATCTGAACTGAAGCTCTAATATATTAATTACTTATTAAAAAGGAATTAATTTTATTGCCTAATTTTTATCAAAAAAGCTGGTATTTTCTATTTTTTGGCTGACATTTTCCTGCTATTTTCCGACTCACTTTGATTGCTTATTAATCAGGAAGTGTTGCAATTGTATCGATTTGGCAACAATGTGACCGATATGGCAAATAATTCCATACAAAATGGTAATTTTCTATGCAAGGCCGGGGGATACCCTTCCATTTTAATAACTTTTAGTGTGGGGAGGAGTTGGCATAGAACATTTTCAATTTCCGGCCACGCAGCGGGTTTTTGCAGTACACCATTGTTCAAATATATTTTGCATTCAATTGCATTGACAAGCCGCCAATTTGCCACATAATTACAAATGCTGACACGAGGGGGGTCACCTGGGAGTGCAGCTTCATGGTTTATACAATACCTTAAGCGGATTTGATTTTCCCTTTTTTTATAATTTTTTTTTGGTATTTATTATATTTTACTTCATCTCCATCTCCACTCCATCTCACTTTTCTCAGCTTTCCTTCTGTGGTCAGCTACAGCAAAGCAGCAGCAGAAAATTCTGATTGAATTTCTTTTATCAGTTCTTTATTTTTTTTGCACTACTGTGTATAGCATAGAATTTTCTCTATTATATTTTAGATGAGGAGAAAGAGAGGGTATGGATGTTGCAGTTGCATCGTTGGTCGTCTTATTTCTCTAGAGAATGTTTGCGTTGGTTTAGAATTCAATTATATATTGGGGGGCGAGAGGTGAAGTTAAGGAAAATTCAAGCAGATTTAGTAAATACCCTGAAATTTAATAATATTTATTTTTATAAAATTAAAATGTATACAAATGAATATATAAATATATTTAAAAATATGAAGAAATACTACAGAAGATTGAGGTTTACCGGTTAGCTAAATAAGTAATGATAGTTAAAAGTTAGCTTATAAAACATTTCTCTAATATTTTTTATTTAAAATTATTTCTACAATATTGTTTAAATATCCAAATTATTTATATCCTTTTTTTTAATTTATAGAGTATATTTCCAGCTTCTTATATTTTTTTTCGATTTTTGTTCTTGTTTGTCTGCTCCCCATATTGGTTGTTATCAACATTATCATCATGCTGTGGTTGATGCGCCTCAGTCCTTTGCTTTCATTTTGTTTATTTTTGTATCCTGACCGGCTGCTCCTCCAGGTTGTATGTACATAGTATTCTGTGCCCAATGTCCTATTTGCCTGTTGCTGACCATTTTTCGCAATATGATATTTATAGTTATTTCATACTTATTATATTCCATCTGCTTTTGGTTGCATTCGTTGGAAGAAAAACGAAATATTATAGAAAATCCCTTCAACGAAATTTGACTTGGTCTGCACAATTTTAATAAGCTCAGGGAAAGGGATCCATCTCATCTTCCATTTCTGGTTAGATTGGTCTGCTCGGGTCTGGCCAATTGTCATCTCATTCGGAAAACTTATTCTACCAGAAACGAGCAGAAAATGTTCAATTTCGTCTCAGGATTTTGGCTGCATTTAATGGCGGCGGTGATGAGGAGAGGAAGCAAAGTCCATTACCAAAAAACATAAACAAATTGTTTGGCACTTTGCTGCTCCATCGATCCTTCGTCCTGTGTACGGCTGGGAAACTAAAACACGCCCATCTAATCTGTTCAATAACTTGGAAAATCATTGCCAATAAATCAAAATGACTTTGCAGGATGTGTGTAGTATCCGAGAGCTCCAAGGCGGCAGGCAAACGATAAGAAATCAATGTCTGGCCATTGTTGGCTGAACTTGAAGGGCCTTTTCAGTTCTCCTCGAAGTCGTAGGGAAATTTAAAATTCAACACTTCGTTCGGTGGGCGGTTCTGGCATAAATTGAACGTACATTTTATTCTACGCAACATCAGCACAATGTCCGGAGTACTAAAGAAAGCGAAGCGAAAGAATGAAATCCATACTAAATCGTACCTCGGGGCTGTTTAAGGTCAACGTTCGTTCTCGCCTCCCCTTAGCTTAAATATATATATTTTGCTCTGGGTTGGATTTTTTAACGCTGCAGTTAACACATCATTTTTCGGGGGCATTGTTTCGGTCGCTTTCCATTATCTTTCACTTGCGATCTAATGAAGTGTGCGAAGTGTTGTTGTCTGTCCTGACCCCTGATGGCCCCGTCTACTATCCGATACCTCCATCTCTTTGTGTCTATTTGTATGCATTGCGAGGGAGTCGCCATTAGCAGATGCGTAGGCTTAAATTATGCAATCTAAGAGGGGGTTGAATCAGAGAATAATGTATTTTATAAGAAAATATGGAAGTTTTAAGATTTACAAGAAGGAACTAGAAATTTGTATATGATTGGAGAGAAAATTTGTGATAACTAAGTCAAAAATGCATTAATTTCCCATCGGAAAGCTTTCCTGTGCTAGTTTTGATTAGTTAAATAAATCTGCGTATTCAGTTTAAAATATTAAAAATTAAAGTTTTTCTTGATTTTTTTTTCACAATTTTACCCCTTATAAAATGTTGAAAAATTTGAATAAATTTTTATTTTGTCTGACATGGCTAGATCGATTCTGCTTTTGATCCTGATCAAGAATATATATGGTTTATAGGGTCGGAAATGACTCTTTCACTTATTAAAATTATAAAACCTTCAGGGGTATACAAATGAGTAACAAGTAATAAAAATTAGTTTTGAGATAGCTCAGATTATTTTAAATAAATTTTTTCTTAATATTGTTATAACATGTACTATTGATTTATTGGAAAAACTATTAAGAACAATATTACATTCAAAATATAGCTATATTTTATATTTTAAAATTCGAAATATACAAAAATATCACAGTTAACGTTATAAGTATACCGAATATATTAGAAACATTTTATATCTATAGCCAAGAACGAAATTATGCTCTTTTTTCTTTGACTTAAAGAGAGAATAATATTATTATAGTATGTTTATTATTTATGCCATTAGTTAGGTCAGTATTTAATACTTCCTTTATTTCACAAAATTATACCACCTTAAATTCTTGTATATAAATTTTATATATAACCTGAAATATGTAT